GTGTGTGTGTGTGTGTGTGTGTGTGTGTGTGTGTGTGTGTGTGTGTGTAGTGTTGGGGGGGGCAGGAGGGAGGTTAGCAAGCTCACCACTTTTTTTCCTCTGGATCCCTATGAAGTCAATAAACCCGCTGAAGTCCTGTGTGGCCCTAACCCCTCCGGCCTTATATTTCACACGCAATGGAGGCAGTTTCTGCAGTCTATCTTTGCCCAATCTACAGTATACATCACAAAACAGCACAATGGGGGAGGCTGGGAGCTGAGGATGTTAGAGGCGTGCATATTAAGGAGGGAGAGAGAAAGGGACTCACAGGGGACAGAGACAAGGAAAAAGGGAGAAAGACGGTGCTACACTCCCCTCACCCCCGCCCCTCCCTCCATCCTCCCATTTAGTAGTATTCAATTCGTTTATCAGGAGCAGTGAATCCCGGAGTCAGGCAGAAGTCTCCTGGGGGTTTTGTTGGTCCTGTCACTGGGTCCCATTGTGATTCTTGTCCTACATGCTGTATTCCATATGGACAGCTGGGCTGAGGGAGGGCGAAGAGGGACCTTCACAAAACCCAAATTGTGTCCAGCTTTCAAACCCAGTATTGTTGTCTGTGAAAGGAAGACGCATTAAAAATTCGTGCTATATCTATTGGGGAGGTGGAGAAGGGGGGGTAGTAAAAGGGAAAAAAAGCCACCCTGTCTTTGATGGCTTCAGAAGGCCCCCGTGCTGGCCTCTGACAAGTTGCCTCTCTCTCTCTCTCTCTCTCTCTCTCTCTCTCTCTCTCTCTCTCTCTTTCTCTCTCTCTCTCCCTCCCACTGTCTTCTCTCCCCTTCTCTTTCCTCATTCTCCTTTCTATTTCCTTATGAAATTAGCTTCCACTGCCTGAGTCCACTGCTTTTCAGTCAACGATGCACTTGCCTCTAAACCTTCAACCTGGAAGTGCCAAGCTTCTCTTCTCAGGGCACAGGCTTCTTCTGGCCTCTGGACACTGTAGAGGATAAGAAGAGTGGTTATTGGGGTGTGGTCCTTGCTCCAGCAATGTCTCCTTTTCTCTTCCTTTACTACTCCCCAACTTCCAAAAGACCCCAAACCAACTCCTGATGCTACCGCTCTTTCAGGCTCCTGATGAGGCCTATTAGAAGATTCCAAGTCCTGGTCTGGGGGAGAGGACTAGTTGGAAGACTTGGGTGAAGGAGGCAAGACATCAAGCTCTGATGAAGACCTCAGGAGCCTTATTGGAACCTAAGCTGAAACTGGCTTTAGATTCCCAGGCAGGAAAAGAAACATTCCTCTTTTCCCTCCTCAATAACATGCCATATAACCTCAAAAGACAATGTATATACAGGTCCATTCATAGTGGAGAGGCCAGAAATATTAGTAATAACCAGTTCAATCATATGATTCTTCTTGGAGCTCTGCAACAGAGAGCCAGATGTCCCTTTTCCTTGGCAAACTGCTCAGATATCCAAAATGGGAGACCAACAGATTATTCCTTCTTACAGTTCACTGCTGTCCTTTCCACAATGTTGCTGGTGTTTCTATTGTGACAGAGACTTACCCCAACATTTTTTTTCCTCCCTTGGATGGGAATGGAATAGGCAGGGAATTGTCCTGTTCAATGATCATTCGGTTCCTTAAAAAAAAATACACAAAAGGATATTTTCAAAAATCAGAAACGAGGGGAAAATAGAGGTACAAGGGAAGATGGACACAAAACTTCTGAGGTTGCTATTGTCCTATTTTTATCCCTATGGGTGGGTTTTACAAGGTGGTTTTATTGTCCTTTATTATCGTGCGTGGT